ACTGGAGACCCCTTTGTGTCTAGAACGTGGGGGACCCACGGTTCTGTCTCCAGCCTCTAGCAGAGTGTCTGACAATTAACTCTCAGCAAGAGCGTTTGAAATACAGGGGGCTGAGTGTATGACAGACGAGAGCCAGATACTTGTCCCATGCCTTATTCAGTAAACGGTTCAGTATTCAGAGGTGTCCAGATGGAGCCCACTGCTCTGTCTGTCTTGCAGAGCAGGTGCTAATGTAACATGTCCCTGTTCCAACCAAGGCCACACCTTTGCCGCCCCGCAGCCCATTGTAGGCACCCGCCCTTCAGATCTGCTCCTGATTTTAAAGCTTGTTTTCATCCCTCTTCTGGTTTCTCAGTCGCTCTGGGCCCGGGGAACCTTTGTCTGCCCGCCCACTGGCCACCATCATCAGGTGATGCTCCGAGGGGCCTGAGTGCATGTGGGGACGCCAGCGAGCAGTGTTTTATGCTGCAAGGTCCCTTCAGAACCAGACCTCATCTTCCTGAGGAAATCAGCCTTCACTCAATAGCTGCATCCGCCTCCTGCAGGGTCCACTGCATTCACTCTGCACAGTGACTCCCATTCCTGCTGCTGCAGGGGATGCGTGGCCTTGGGACTGCTTTCATCTTCTCGGGGCGCAGGCTGTGGGACGCGCAGCCTTGGGACCGCTTTCATCTTCTCGGAGCGCAGGCTGAGGGGACGTGTGGCCTTGGGACCTCTTTCATCTTCTCGGGGCGCATGCTGAGGGGATGCATGGCCTTGGGACCTCTTTCATCTTTTTGGGGCACAGGCTGAGGGGACGTGCGTCCTTGGGACCACTTTCATCTTCTCGGGGCGCAGGCTGAGGGGACGCGTGGCCTTGGGACCTCTTTCATCTTCTCGGGGCGCAGGCTGAGGGGATGCGTGGCCTTGGGACTGCTTTCATCTTCTCAGGGCGCAGGCTGAGGGGACGTGCGGCCTTGGGACTTCTGTAATCTTCTCAGGGCGCAGGCTGAGGGGACGCGTGGCCTTGGGACTTCTTTCATCTTCTCGGGGCACAGGCTGAGGGGACACACGGCCTTGGGACCTCTGCCCTCGTCGTCTTCTCCCGGGGTGCAAGCCGAGTGCCCGATGGACTGCTCTGGAGAGGTCAGCTTTTTCCACAGCTGAGGCAGGAGCTCGAGTGACGGAGGGGCTCCCAGCAGGGCAGGCACATGTCGGGGAGGGCCCAGGCGGCCGGCAGGGTACTGGGTGCGGGGCGGCGGCTCCGGGCACGCAGGGTCTGGCTGGGCAGGGACACCCGGGGGGCTGTGTGGAGCGTGGGGACACGCAGGATGGCACGCAGGATTGTGCGCTGCCCTCTTTTCATTTATTCACTCGAAAGCCCTCTTGTCACTTGTGGCAGAGTTTGTAGGGCAGGTGGGGGAGCTGAGCATCCGGTCTCACAGACGGGACCCTCTCCATGTCTTTGGGAGGCAGGGCAGGGGTGTGGCCTGGGGCGTAGGCCAGCCCCATTTGTTTCCCAGATGCCCCTTAGCCGTTGTATCTTTGTGGAGAGTATGGGGTCTTGACGGAAACTCCGAGAGAGAAGGGCTCTGTTTGTGATCTGCTCTAGACAGTGCTCGTGGTAAAGACCCTGCCCGTCCATGCAGGAGACCTAAGAGGCCCTGGTTCGATCCCAAGGTCAGTGAAGTGCCCTGGAGGAGGGCATGGCAAGCCACTCCAGTATCTTGCCTGGAGAATCCCGTGGACATACGGGCCTGGTGGGCTATAGTCCATAGGGTTGCAGAGAGTTGGACACGACTGAAGTGACTTAGCACACACGCGCACAGGGAAGAAAACTAGCTTCTGGAACACTCGAGGTGGGCAGAGCTGCAGAACTCAGAGCCTGATTTACTGAATAATTTGCACAGTCCTGTGGGTTAAGGTTTTCCATTAAGCTCTCTGTGCTGCTAATAATTTAGCTGGAAGATGTGTTAGATACAGCACTTGGGGAAAATGGAGTACCCATCTCGGGGATAATGACACCGTGAAGGCAGATTATTTCTACCGTGGAGAACAATTGTAAGCCTGTGCTAATAGATTAAACTGCTAGAGCGATCGTTCTGAACAAAGAAAATGGTTGAGAGCTATACAGTCAGCCCTAAACTGATTAGGACAGGCAGAGAGCCATAATTTAGCCCTACTGATCTATGACACGTCATTTCTTTAGTCGCTGCCGCACAGCACCAGCCAGGGAAGGTCCCCGGACTTGAGGTCACCTGGATTAACATCCAGATTTGAGCTACCTTCCGGCCCACTGACCTTAGATGAGTCACTGGGCACTAGAGGTTTCCCTGAGATGCGCAGGCCACAAGATGGCATGTGCAAGTGACGGGTCTGGGGTGAGGAGAGCATCCACTGGGTGCCATGGGGGCAGAGAAGGAAGTCTGTGGTTTGCAGAAACATAAAATATAGAAGCAGAGTGTGGGTCATGTCCAAGGTGGAGTGCATGAGGGTGAGGGAAGGGCTCAGAACCTGCCTCTGTTAGCCCTCCACACCTCCCAGTTCCCATTTCCACAGCCTCACGTGAAGCCGGGCATTTGCACATGCAAGCTCGTGAGAACGTGAACTTGGGCCAGTACCAGGCAGCGACTGAACCCTGGGTGTCGTAGTTACGCTTTGAATGCCCCTCCCATGACACCTGTGCCGGCCAGGAGGGTCACCCTTTGCAGGATTTCTGTGGCTGCACATTCACCTTCGTCTTCATCACTCTTCCTGGTGAAGTAAGCCCAGAGGACCGCGTTTGGAAAGTTCATTTTGCTCTCAGAACTGGCAGTGCATGAACCGAACTGGTGATCCTATCTGCCCAGTGAGTTTGGTGACTGGCAGAGCGATGGGCACACGCCTGCTCTTTGCTGCCTCCCTGCTGCCCTCCCTCCATCTGCAGACACCACCGCCTTCCACAAAGTGGCTCCAGCCCCATGGGACAGAGTTAGCATGTTATCTTCCCTTGTTTCGAGCCCGGAGGCCTCATCTTGGCCTCTGCCCTTCTTCCCGCGTCTGTGGGCAGTGGTCATGCCTCGGTCATCCTGGGCCCTCCTGGGCCAGCTCCTGGGAGCCCGCCCTGCCACCATGGGGACAGGCATTGCAGGCTCTGCTCATCCGAGGCCGGGCCCGGAGGGGTCTCCTTGTCCGGGCAGCAGTGTCAGCCCTGATGAGTACTCAGGTGTTAGAGTTGTTCCAGAGGACGGTGACGTCTGCCATCGGTGACTTCTTCCTTGTTCGGGGCTTCACCTCTGACGGCAGTCGCTGTACATGAAGAGTGCTGTCACACCAGGAGTGCGTCTCAAAGCTCACGTGTTGGTGAATCTCGCCCGTTTTATCACCACGGTGGAATCTGTTTACCTGAAGTCGATGGGCTTGATTTGCCCGCGTGAGGTCCTGGAACCTCAGCATAAATGCCGCGCGCCCCCCGACTCCTTACTTTCATGCGGAATTGACCGACAGTTCAGAGGAAAGCGTTTGTCCAGTGTTCCCTCCCCGCTTCCCCACCCTTCTGTCGGGTTCCCTCTTTCAAAGTGAAGTAAATCAATATTTACTTCTAAAGTCTTGGTTCACAGTACATTTTCCCGTTTCACGAAATTGAAACAAACAGTAAAAGAAGGGGAGATAAAAGGCCTCCGTCTACTGTAGAAAGACAGCTCAGGCTAAATGTGCTAATAGTTGCCACTCAAGGTATCTCTCTAGCTTCTGGAAAGTTCTGTGCAAGTTGGAGGTTCTTCCAATCAGTAACTGTGTGGCGCCCACCCCAGATGGACCTCATCCGATTTCTTCTCTGAATTAAACCTGACCACATTGCCCCCAACACAGCCCTTCCTGCTAGCAGGGAATGGCTCAGGCCCAGGGCTGAGGGAGACCCCTGGAAGCCTGAACGTGGGTCCCAGAGATGGTGTGGGTCGTGTTTACAGGGGGCTGGGCAGGAAGGAAACAGTAACCCAGGCTCCAGCCAGCGGGGAGTCAGAAAGTGTTTCACGAGTGGGAGCTCACAGAGGCCACCTGGGCAAGCCCGCTGCTCCAGGTCTCTCCTGGGGGTCCTGGGAGTCCTTGCTCCTTCTGTCCCTGCTCTGCCTGGAGCCCACTCCCATGCCTCCCCTGGAGGCTGTCCTGTGTCTGCCCCGCCAGGCTGGATTTCCCCCGTGTGCTCCCCAAGCACCCATCATTCACCTGCAGCCAGCGGAGCACCCTTCTGCAGATACTGGGTGCTTGCTCCTGGCCCACACCCGCCCCGCCTGGATCTGGGGGGAGCTGTGCCCCCCTGACGGCAATGACGTCCTGGCCCTCAGAGAGCTCAGTCCACTGAAACGAGGACGGTCTTGTTGAATGGAATGAATGAATGAACGAGTAACTGACATGCTTCAGTACCTTAGGAAAACATTGTTAGTACATGACTGAAGGCCTGGAAAGCGCGGTGATGTTATCAAGCACCCACTCTGCTTACAAAAGCTTCTTCGGTTCTCCGAGCCATTCTGTGAAGTGGGCATTCTAATTTCTGTTTCACAGATGAGATAGCAGAGGGTCATGGGGGAAAGTGGCCTTTCCGAGGCCAATAGCCCACAGCGAGGGAGCTGCTGTTTGAGCCCCACCACGTGCAGGACAGAGGTTCTTCCTGCCTCGCCTCATGCCCCTCTGGGCAGGGCCGGTCTCCCTGACATCTGTTCCTGTGTCCCATGCGGTCATTCCCCAGCTCAGCCAGCCTGGGCCCTTCACCTTCCTCCTGGACTGGTTTTCTATCAGTCGTTTCTGCACCTCTTAGGGTCACAACACTTTCTAATTCTTGCCTATGGTATCTGTATTATTTCTCTTCTCAAGATCAAAAGCAGTTGTAAAACAGACCAGAACACAGAGTCAGGGCTTTGGCAGCAGCTGGCGTTTGGCCTTGTCTGGAGTCGGCCTGCTCTGTAGACAGTTGCCGTGATTCCTCTGGTCCCGGCTGGACCCCGAAGCGGGGCCCGTCTTGTGACCTCTCTCTCACCCTCCTGCAGGTCACGGACGAGGAGCCCAGCTCCAACCACACGGTCATGATCCAGGAGACCCTCCAGCAGGCCTCCGTGGAGCTGGCCGAGCAGCACCATCTGGTGGTGTCGTCCGACGACGTGGAGGGCATCGAGACGGTCACCGTCTACACGCAGGGCGGGGAGGCCTCGGAGTTCATCGTCTACGTGCAGGAGGCTGTGCAGCCCGTGGAGGAGCAGGCCGCGGGGCCGCCGGCCCCCGAGCTCTAGGGGACCTTCGGCGTGCCATGGAGCTGCGAGGTGCCCAGGGAGGCCCCAGACCTGGGCTCTGCACGCGCTCGCCTCTGCCCTCCCAGCTCCAGCGGCCAAGCGGGGCCCTCCTGGCCCTCCTCTGGGTGGCGAGGCCATCGGTCGGCATCACCAGCAATATGGGAGCCCCCCTCCCCTCCCCGCAGCAGACACACACACACAGCCACCCCCGCTTCATCCGCTTCCAGGAGGGCTTGCGCATCAACTCCCCCAAACAGGGCTCTCCCGAGGCAGCCCCTTTGTGTCGAGATTCAGAGACCACCCCTCCCCACCCCAGTCCTCATCAGCACCTTCCCTGAATCATGGCCCCAACCGCACCTCTCGCCCCGTGTACGTGCCCTATCTTTCTCTGGGACAGCCCCAGATGTGACCGAGAGACAGCCGCCAGAGGAGGTGACCTTATCGTTTCTGAATCACTTAGGAGAGAAAAGAGGGGAGGGATGGACGTGCAGAGTCCCGCCCTCCTGGAGCCTCTGAGGCGCTTACTGTCATGTGACGTGAGCGTGATTCGATGACCCTCCCAGTCTCCATCCCAGGTGGGGGTGGTCTCAGCTTCCTCTCTTGGAATTCTTTTGCTTTTCCAATAAATGCACTTTTTCCTATTCCCTTCCCACTCTAAGGAGGTGGGGTGGATAGAGTTGAAGCATTCCTCTACCTGAGTCCTTCTCCTCCTTTAGGTTGGTGGGTTTATGTGCCCCGCCCCCCACTACCCAGGGCCACCCCCTCTGAGACCCCGGGCCCCAAAACTCGACTGTGATGGTCGGGTCGTTCTCCCTCCAAAGCACGAGCCTTGTTTCAGGGTCACTATGAGAGGCCAATGGTCTTCCCTTCCACTTCCTGGCACCTCACTTTGGTTTGCTGCAGCCTAGAGGAGGCAGCAGCCACTCCCTGCATCAGAAGGGGCAGTAAACCCACTGTCAGGCCTTCCCGACGCTCCTAAGTCTGACCTTTTTGTCCAGGGGCTCTTGGTAAACCCATTTTGTCCAGGGGCTCTTGGTAAACCCATACCTTTTGCGCCTCTGCTGTGACAGCCTTGCGGGGGTATCAAGGCAAGTACTGCCACCCCCCATCCAGCCCTGGGGTCTCCTGATGGTGTCACTCACTGTCCAGCTCACTGAGGTCAAGATTTTTTTTTTAATCAAATGAAGTTTTATTTAATTTATAGTGATTCTAACCAATTATTTGAATAAACCATCCTTTTGAGGTGTAAAATGCCAAACTGTTGCTTCATGGTTTTAGACTTTCACATTTCTAGACTAAACAATGAAATACTTAAAAGACATGACATAGGATGACTCACAAAACTGTTCATGTGAAACAAAGCCCTTGATGCTATTTGGGTACTAAAAGCAGCCAAAAGTTTTGGTTCAGTAATGAAGAAAAAAGCTTGAGAATCATTTTCAATCCTACAACGGCTAGTTCTCTTTTGTGGCCAAGGAAGACATTATTGACCCATTTTCAGTGAAGAATGGGGCCTCCCTGGGGGATCCGTGGTAAAGAATCCACCTATAAATGCAGGAGATGAAGGTTTGATTTCCTGGATCGGGAAGATCCCCTGAAGAAGGAAATGGCAACCCACTCCAGTATTCTTGCCTGGAAAATCCCACAGTCCATGGGATCGAGAGTTGGATAGGACTCAGCGACTAAACAGCAACACTAAAGAATGAACTTTGAGTTATTCTCTAGTAAGGATGGTGGGTTTTTCACCAGTCTTGGTAAAAATGAATGGTACAACCAAATGATGAATTTTTTTTCCTCAGTGTTTTTGTTTGTTTCTTGCTGTGTGGTTGACCTACAACACTATGTTAGTTCTAGGTACATGGTCTAGTCACTGGATATTTTTATACATTACAAAATGATCACCACAGTTAGTCTAGTATGCTCGATGTGTCATGCAGGTGACGATAAGACTCAGAGGTAGTGAGATTCACCGAGAGAACATACGTGAGGTGCTTGGCACAGTGTCGGGCAGAGAGGGACAGCTCTGCCCCTTGAGAAATGCCCAGTAAGGAGGCTGTGACCTCCCAGCGTGGCCATGGACGTGCAGGTAGGTTAGTGGCTCTGAGTTTCGAGTTTAAATTATTTTATCTGGAGATTTCCAGTTATCTTAGATTGTTGACCCCATGGATGATACAGTCCAAGGAATTCTCCAGGCCAGAATACCGGAGTGGGTAGCCTTTCCTTCTCCAGGGGATCTTCCCAACCCAGGGATCGAACCCAGGTCTCCTGCGTTGCAGGCGGATTCTTTACCAGCTGAGCCACCAGGGAAGCCCCGAGTTTTGAGTTGCTTAAGGAGATGGTAACTTATTTTATAATTGTATCTACAGGGCCAATTTAGCAAATTAATTTTTCTTGTACTAAGTATTTAAAATTCATTATCTGTTGTCACTGATGATGTTCCCTGTATCCTTTGGTTCCATCCTTCAAGGCTAAAGAGAAAAGACTGATTCCAAATCCATCACCCCACCTCACCCCTTTTAAAATTTCAAAATGAACTGGCCATCTCACAGATCAGGTCCACGTCCATCTCCCCCCAGTGATAATAGTTTTAGGTTGTAGCAGGAGGTCTTTGGGAACCAATTAAGTAGACTATTACTTTGGAAGAGAAAAACAAAAAACAAAAGCAGAAACGTGTTCTGAAGGGAGGACTTAATTTACTGTGCATCACAAAATTTTCTAAGTAAATTATTTTCCAGTCAACTTGGCCCTTCTCTTAGCTATGACAGGGCCACGTTTGGGTTTGATTTTAAAAATTCTAATCTATCACTACTGTCACTATTCCTGCTGCAATTTAAGGCTTCGGTGGTTTGTGGTGGATAACAGTCGTTACAATTCCTGCAGGCTAAGAAGGCAGTGACGGCTTGGTATACTAAACTATCACGGAACAGACAAAGGAAGGAATGTTGGTGTCGACAGAAGGCGGGTCAGGTCAGAGTAGTCCGCGGAGTTTTCACACCGCGCCCCGCCCCCTCGCCCCGTCTTGGTCCTTCCATGACCTCTCTTAAGGCCACCCATCCCAGAACCAGACCAGCAGGTGATGGCGAGTAGCCCCACCCCCGGGGGCGGGGCTTATGATGGACCGGGAGAAACTGATGAGGGAACCACCAGTGGCAGAACTACCTGTGGTGAGTTCTTAGGTCACATACATCCCTCTCAGGTACCTTCACAGAAATGAGCCTCGAAAGACAGCTCCTGCCTGGCCTGGAGGGTGGGATGCTTGCCTGATATCTGTGCCTCCTTGGTCACCACAGGTTGACTGTAATCATCGATAGAGTCGGCCCAGGATGGGGGGTCTCTGCAAACCTATTACTTGGCACCCTGTGAAGTGTGGATATGCCATGAACAGCTGAGCCTTTGCTATGTCTGAGGTCAGACTCCTGGGTTGAAGCTGGGGGTTCACCACTTACAAGCTGGGCCAACATACGTTATCTCTGAGCCTCAGTTTTTCCATCTCTAAAATGGAGATCACAAGAGCACCTTCTTTCTGAGTCATTGTGAGGCTTAGATAAGGTGATGCCTGCTCATCTCCTAATGCAGCATAAGTGTCTGAGCTGGGTTAATTATTACCATTCCCACAATTATTGGAGCTTCCCTTGTGGCTCAGCTGGTAAAGAATCCACCTACAGTGTGGGAGACCTGGGTTTAACCCCTGGGTGGGAAGATCCCCCAGAGAAGGGAAAGGCTACCCATTCCAGTATTCTGGCCTGGAGAATTCCATGGACCATACAGTCCATGGGGTCACAAAGAGCTGGACACGACTGAACAACTTTCCACAGTTAATGCCGTCTTCTCTCATAACCGTATTGAATGTGTGAGTGAGTGGTAGAGTGGCTGGAAGGTGGGTTTCCACCAGAGGAGCCCCAGGGCCTGGGTGAGGCATCAGCTGACTCCCTGGTTTGTGATAATCAGAAAGGACAGAGCAGGGCTTCCCTGGTGGCTCAGCGCTAAAAGAATCAGTCTGCCAATGCAGGAGATACTGGCTTGATTGCTGGGTTGGAAAAATCCCCTGGAGAAGGAAATGGCGATCCATTCCAGTACTCTTGCCTGGAAAACCCCATGGGCAAAGGAGTCTGGTGGGCTATAGTCCGTGGGGTCGTAAAGAGAGACATGACTGAGCACGCGCACACATACACACACACACGAGCTTCATGGGTCCTAAGCAAAGAGCCTTGATCCAATTTAGCCTCCTTGATTTTCAGAATAAAATACACAAGGCACTAAAGTCAGGTCTGGCCAGCATCACACAGTCAGGCATCTGCATACCCGAAGTTTAGCGGGGCAGGAGGTCAGTAGGTGCTCAACAAATACTTCTTGACTTACTTTTCTCCCCCGTAATTGTAGAGGGGAAAGAGGCCAGGAGGACGTTGCCCTGGCCGCCGGTGGCCCGTGGGGATTTGAACGCAGGTATGCCCAGCTCCAAAGCCCTTTGTTTCCAGCCCTCCTCCACCCTCGTGTAGTCTGTGTGCGTGTCACTTGGGCCAAAGCCTGTGGAATCTCTTTGTAACCTGCATGCTCTGGGCAGGTGGGAGTGAAAACTGAGCCAGAGCAGGTTTTTAACTCAGAGAGATGGGGCTGTGGGACCAACGCCAGCAGGGGGAGCCAGGAGCTTCCTGGACAGCCAAGCCCCTGAGCTGGGCTAAGTGCCCGGCAGGCACACAGTGGGTTCAGAGGATCAGGACTGCCCGGGAGAGCAGAAGGGGGTCACGACCTTCTCTGCTTCTGTCTCCAGTTCACCTGGAAGCCTGGGGCAGCGGGAAGAAGCAGACTTGGGGCTTGTGGGAACCGGTGTCCGTGCGTGGGCTCAGCTAGCTGGGTGCCCTGGGACACAGCCCTTTCTATTTCTGAGCCCCAGTGCTTTCATCTGAAAAGCAGGGGTGCTGAACTTGTGTTGGTCGCTCTTCTGTGGCTGGACGTGAGGTTTGGTACCTGCTGAGCGGGGCTTCCCAGGTGGCGCTAGTGGTGAAGAACCCATCTGCCAACGCAGGAGATGTAAGAACCTCGGGTTCAATGCCTGGGTCTGGAAGACCCCCTGGAGGAGGACACAGCAACCTGCTCCAGTATGCTTGCCTGGGGAGTCCCATGGACAAAGGGCCTGGAGGGCTACAGTCCACGGGGTTGCGAAAAGTTGGACACGACTGAGCGACTTGGCAAGCACCCCTCACCTGCTGGGTGCCTCACCCGGCTCGGAGCGGGTGCCGCGTCATTCTGGCCGCTCCGTCACCTCAGCCCAGCCCGACGTGACGGATGGAGCTCTGCATGGGCAGCCAGGAGCCCTGGGCCTTTCGCCATCTCTCAGCGG